TGTTCTAGAAGGAACAGTATGCAAGAATATCTTCATGGCCAGCCATTCCTTTCTTGCGGTTGTTCCCTTGTTTGGCATTGATTTCTCTTAGGACTTGCTCCTCAACTCTTTCAGATTTGCCTGTTATCTGTGTGTGTGTGCGCGCGTGTGTGTGCATGTGTGTAGGCAGCTGTTTTAATATTGAATTGGTATGCATGATTTGTTTTGCAGTGATAAGGGTATCGTGTACTCTGCCCGTGCATATAAAATTCCGGAATGTACACGCACTGCTGCTGGCACACCTTTGATACAGGTACATGTAACTATTTAGTTTGCATGGAATATTTGTGGTATCTTCTGATTTCTATTTGGATGTCAGATCTTGTCATTGTCAGATGGTGAAAGAATAACATCCATCATTCCCGTGGGTGAATTTGTTGATGACCAATATCTAGTAATGCTCACAGCCAATGGGTACATCAAGAAAGTGTCGCTGAACTATTTCTCATCAATCAGATCAACAGGAATAATTGCTATACAGTTGGTCTGTCTTCTCTTATGCATTATCTGCTATTCAATATTTTAAGTATTACTTTCCATTCAGCAAGTACGAGTAGCTAGGTTTTAACTATATGCTCTGCGTGTTATTTGACAGGTTCCAGACGATGAATTGAAATGGGTACGGTGTTGCACAAATGATGACCTAATTGCAATGGCTTCCCAAAATGGAATGGTCATTCTTAGCTCTGGTGATACTGTAAGTTGCATAGATTGTTCCACGTATCTAACAGTGTATGAAATTCATGACTTTATTTGGCCCCTAAAATGTGAAATTTAATGGTTTGATCTGGTCACTTTCAGTCCATTACTAGGGCCAAAGTAGTTATGCTTGGAAACTAGTGCTTTCAATAGTACTTATAGCTCTTCTGTTGATGCGAGGAGCATTTGGAATATGCTATAATACCATTTAGCAGTTCAATTCATAATAGATCTACTAGCTTACTCAGTAGGTAGTTTTAGGTTTGTTACAATTATTAAATATACATGATTAAACTGAAAGTTTATAAAAACAGCATACTAACCACTTGGCATGCCACTTCTGAACTGTTTACTCTACTGAAGCTATTGAAACTGAACATACTAGCAATTTTTAGTTTATGTTTGCTAAGTACCAACTTCTTAACTCTTTCTGGACATACTTTTTGTTATGAAGTTGCATCTAACCGCTACAAGGCCTATAATAATCTGGATATCTGCACTTTCTGTTGTGCGCTTAAATACTCGATCATGCTGCAGTGATGCTGTTTACAATAATGAAAGGCATGCCTTGGATGTTGTTTACTCATGTTGTCGTACTATTGGTTCCAGATTCGATCCCTTGGAAGAAATACAAGAGGTACAACTGCCATGAAACTAAAAAATGGGGATAAGATGGCAAGCATGGATATCATACCTGCAACATTTAGAAAAGAGTTGGACCGAAATGTGGATGAATATGGTATATGGTAAGATTATCTGCACCTTATTGAGGCATTTGAAGAGTTGCTTATACTTTTCCTTGTGGTCTTCAATATTAGCTTCCTTACCTTAGATTGTATAGTAACTCTGCAAGTGTGCAGCTTGTAAGAATGTGTTTGTTTGATGCAGGAAGAAGGGAACGAGTGGTCCATGGCTTCTTTTTGTTTCAGAAAGCGGCTATGGGAAGCGGGTTCCATTGAGCAGCTTCCGCCTGTCACCCCTCAATAGGGTTGGGTTGATTGGATATAAAGTAAGTTGGATCTACTTGAACAATTACAGCGGATTTTGGTTTGGGTATGATTGTAAATATGTATCTCATGTGCATTTTCAGTTTGCATCTGAAGACCAATTAGCTGCTGTTTTTGTAGTAGGATTTTCACTCTCAGGTAATCTTGCATTTAAGTATGCTATACTCTTTTCTAACCTTTTCATGCGTATAAATTTGACTCCTATTAACTTTATACTCTTGCATCCCTTTGGCAGAAGATGGAGAAAGCGATGAACATATCATATTGGTTAGCCAGAGCGGAACCATCAACAGGATTAAAGTTCGTGATATCTCGATACAATCACGTTATGCCAGGTAACTAAAAGAATTCTGGTGTTGAGTGCAGTCTTGGCCAAGATAATTTTGATATTAGTGTTGGCTTGATGATCTAAACATGTTTCTTATTTTCTTCTGTCAGGGGTGTTATTCTCATGCGGCTTGATCATCTTGGGAAGATTCAGTCAGCGTCTTTGATTTCTTCAGCAGTAGGTGAGCCTGATGAAGATGAAGTTGTTCAACTACTAGGTGAAATTGCTGGATGAGGAGTTCAAACACTTTGTGTATTATATGCAGAAAGACTGTCCATTTTTGTATTGGATCTGTATATAAATTAAAAAACTGTGGTTTTGGTGCATACTAGTATATAACATGTCTTCTAGTGTCTCGTTGCAGTTTGTTTTAGTCCTAATCTACCATGTTAATTTTTGTGTACGGAAATGTTTGCCTCTTTTCTTTTTTTGCTGTTCAATTGCATCTCCGGACTAGGGGCGGTTATGATGCGGGTCCAACTCAAGTTTGACTTGTCTCAAACTCTTAGCTAGACTCTATTTGAAAACATTGGATCTTGAAAAGTTGAAGCTCAACTTGAATGAGAGATGAATTTAACTCAAGATTAGCTTTTAGAAATGAATACTTTTTAAATGAAGTTAAGTTACATTTTAAAATACGAATTAATCTTTTTAAATGAAGTAAAAAAAATTATGTAGAATATGATTAGAGTTTTTCGAATATGTATATGTTGAGTTGGGTTAGGTACACAATTTGAAACCAATCGATTATTTCAGTTGTGCTTGGTTTTTTTTCCTTGCATATAAATCTCAATGTATAGCCAAATAATCATGTGAAAATGGTGCATTAATTTAAATGGTGCAATTCTCTAAAAAAAGAATGTTGGTTCAGAATTCTGATGAGGGAATGCGAGGGAACCTAATCTTGACGTGGGGAGATTAGCTGCTCGGTACGACGATGAGGTTCAACCTCGGAAGACTTGATTTCAGTTTTTAGTGGTCATGATTTCTACTAGCCAGGCTCCCAAAGTCAGATTGCATAATAAAATATATTTTCAAAAATAGAAATGGGCCAACGAGTCCAAATCACAGCTACGTCGTGTGCGATAGGCTTTTTAAGTCCTTCAAGTTTGTTTAAGTCTCGAAAAAAGCGTTTAAACATTTTTCGGATTTTAATTTTTGCTTATTTTTGTATTAGGGCTTTGTTTAGACTATTTAAACGTTTTAGTTGTCTTTAATATAGAGGTGTCAAATCGGGTATTCAAGTTGAGTCCAGGTCGGGTCATGTCAGGTTTCAGGTCAAATTCAAGTCGGTTCATGTCGGTTTTTTTTTACTTACAACTCGGGTTCAGGTCGGGTTGGGTTAAGTTCGATTCGGATTATGACAAGTTTTATATCTTTTCGGTTGCAGTTCGGGTTCGATTCGAGTCAATTTTGGGTTGGGTACTGTTTTGGGTTCGGTTTGTGTCAAGTCGAGTTACAAACAAGTTTGAAGCAGGTAAATATTGGTCGGATGAACTTCAGGTCAGGTTGTTCTTAGACTCGGGTCGAATTTTAGTCAGGTTGGGTAAAGATAAGTTATGAAGATTAAAGCACAATCAAGCCAGGTCATTTTTAGGCTCACCAGATTAAGATGTCAATTCGAGTGATCGAGGCAGGTTCGACGTGGTGGGGTCAAGTCGGGTCAGGTTGGGCTTAATTTCAAACATGACTCATTGACTCATGTTAAATTATTGGGTCCATGCGAGTCAATTTGAATCGGATATTTTTTCGGGTCGGTTTCAGATCGGGTTAGTCAGGTTAGGTTTTGACACCTCTAGGCTTGTGTCAAATATGAGTTGAGTAATTTTGGTTGACTAGTATACAATAACAAAACGAGAACACTTTGAGCCAGATTGGGTCAAATCAAGTTTTGATAGACTAAATCACGAATGTGGATAATTTTTGATAGATTAAACCACAATTAGATCAGACTAAGTGCTTTCTTGGTTCAAGTCTTGTTTAGGTTAAAATGATTTCAGGCTGATTGAATTAGATCATATCACAATTCGACTGAGTCAAAGTTTGATTCAAAATTTTTTGTTTAAGAAAACAACATATTGTAATGTTGTTCATTTAATTTTAACATTTTATATATAGATTGAGTTTTTGTCAACTCTATTGCAACATTTTGACGGAAGCAATAATGTCTTTAATTTTGTATTTGTATAAATTATAAAATATTAATATTATGAAAATATACATTGTAATTAATTCAACGACATAATGCATGACAAAATTTGGTTGAGGTCAAACCGTTACAATTTTTTTTATTTTTTTGTAAAGAGAGAATATATGTTTTACATTTATTATTATATATTTTCATATGTAAGAAAATCTGAAAAAAAAGGCTTTATAAAGAGAAAATAGTGAAATAATTATGCATAAAATAATTTAGTTTTGCGCTTAATTAATTGGTGAGACTTGAGGGGAAATGGGCTTGGCGCCAGGTCAATAGTAATTACTCCCAAAAGCACCGCCAAAAAATTCACTCCAGTAAAACCTAAAATTACTAATCTCATTTTTTGTCACTGGAATTTTAATTTCCTTCAAGCTCCACTCAATTAAACGCCTCCTTCAAGCTCCAAACTAACGCCTCCTTCAAGCTCAAGGTCAAGGTTCCTCCAATTTTTATTTTATTTTTTTGAGTTTTTGATATTTTTTACCTCACTAATATACAGATGACTTGAACAAGTCAGAGAAAGACTCTAAACTCAGCAGCCACCTGACACGTTAGTGAAATAGTTTCGAGCTCAATGCTATCTTAGTTTATAACTAGGGTATCTAAGTTGATGTACTGATGGATTATACTGCATACATTTTAGCCATACACGTGCAATTTTTATACTTCGTATATATATTTTTATTGTTTGATTTCTATTTTATAATTGGATCTCCCAAAAGATATAATGGAGTATGCAAGCAAGCAATTAACTATGTTGTATTGTAAGCAAGCAAATTTTGGATAATGCATATGAGAGAGGTAATGAAATAGTAATTAATTATATTTCAAATTATATAGTAACTGTTTTGTTTCTTATTAATGTGAATATATGTTTTTGCAGCCCTTGACGATGAAGACGAAACATCTCGTATTAATAATCATGTAGAAGGTCTCGAAGATTCTCAACCTTCTCTGAAAAGAAAGAATCAGCCTCTAATAAAGAGGGCAAACGTACTTCACCAGTTTGGAATCATTACAACTTCATTAATACACCACAAGGTTTAATTTGTTCGTTCAATGCAAGTATTGCAAAATACCAAAAAATATTAGTATAACAGTCGTGTTGGTACCTCTAATGCTAAAAGCACTACCTTGGTTGTGATTCTTATAAAAAGCACTTAGAAGAAAATAGTAATGATGTTCCTGCCAAACGATTTTTTTATCATAAAATCTTTTGCAAATTATTTGCTGAAGCTATACTAGGTCATGGATATGCATTGAGTAAGGATGAGCATGAAAGGAGTAGAAAATTGCTTTCTTATCTAAACGCTGATGTGAAGACAGTTTGCAGAAATACCATGACCAAAATTTGCGTGTCAGAGTATGATAGCTTAAAGAAACAATTTCTGACATATTGAGCACTGACCTCTAGAGTTTGCTTGACTTGTGATTTGTGGCAAGCATATACTGTAAATGCGTATTTTACTCTTACTGCCCATTTCGTGGATAATACTTGGAAATTGCAATAAAAAGTTCTAAATTTTCGCCATTTTCCTCCGCCTCACAATGGCTATGACATTTATGAGCTTGTGCAATCTTTGCTTAGAGAATGGGGTATTGGTAAGAATATTTTTACAATCACAGTTGATAATGCCAGTAGTATGAATGTTATGGTTGATAAGCTTCGGTATGATTTAGGTGTTCTTTCTTCTTTGCCAATGGATGGTATGTACTTTCATATTAGATGTTCGGCACACATTTTGAATTTAATTGTGAAAGAAGGTTTGAGTGTTATTGATGAATCTGTTATTAAACTTCATGAGCTTGTGAGGTATATTTCATACTCTGATGGAATGAAAATTAAATTTCAACAATGTGTTATAGCATCTAATTCTTTTTTTAAGTCGAAGTTAAGATTGGATATGCCTACCAGATGGAATTCTACTTATTTAATGCTTCAAAGAGCGTTGTCAGCTAAAACCCCTTTGAGTTTGTTTGCTACCAGAGAGCATAATTTTGAGTTTGATCTTTCAACAAGTGATTGGCAGTCCATACAATCTATATGCGACTTTCTTGAGCCGTTATATGAGATTACTAAACTCTTTTCTGGTTCAGATTACCCTACTGCTAACCATTATTTTGCCAATATTGTTAGTATTGAGAAGCTTTTAACTGATGCACATATTCATGATAATCTTAAGATAAGGGAAATGGAAATGAAGATGCACAAGAAGTTTGAAAAGTATTGGTCTGATTATTCCATGATTTTGTCTTTTGCTGTAATTTGGACCCTCGTCACAAGTTTGATTATGTGAAGACCTTGTATGGTATATTATATGTTGATGATGGTATTGATGGGTCTGGAAGTAAGGCACAAGCAGTTTATTTGGAATTTGCTGCATTGTATAATCTACTCCATGTTCATCATCATCATCATCCTTACGAGGTACATCAACATCGCTTCCGCCTCTTGCATTTCGTGCACCATTTATGATCAGCAATATTTATGAGGTATTTTTTTTTAGTTTTTTTAATTTTCAAATTACATTACTACGTTCCTTTAAAAATTAATTTTAATTATCTATTTTTACAGCATTTTGATGAAAATGTCGCTAAGCATAGAATCAGCGGTATTGCATTTGAACTTGATTCTTACATGAATTTGCCGCTAAGGCCTCGAGTTCCAAATGAGGATTTTGATATACTCAATTATTGGAAAGAACAATCAGTTTCCTTTCCGATCCTCGCCCGAATGGCAAGAGATATATTAGCCATTCCCATAACCTCAGTTGCTTCCGAATCATCTTTTAGTATGGGTGGTCGAATCTTGAATAAGTGGAGAAATTGTCTTTCAGCACCACATGTTGAGGTTTTGATTACTTCTAAAAATTGGTTAGATGGTTATGATGAAGAAGAGGCTGAAGGTAATGAAGTTAGTGTCGAAACTTTATTTTCTTCCTAATTATAAATAGGATCCGATGGATTGGTGATGGCATGTTGAAGATGTTGTGCTTAACATTTGACGTTATTTGGATTGTTATGTTTTGATTGGTGTTGTACCTCTAAGGCTCTGATTAGTGGTTGTCTTTTGGGTTGTTATTCCATTATTGCCAACACCATTGGTTGATATCCATCATTATCTTAATACTTCTTCTCCTTGTCTTTTATATTTATTATATTTATTGTTATGACTTAATTAATAAAAGCAAACAAAATAAATGATTATCTATTGACTTATAATAATGTTTTAACTTTGAGCATTTTGCAAATTTTATTTAATCATACATGTATAACTTTTATCTTTATTAAGGCCTATGATACTATAACTTTTGCATGTATTTGTTAAATTACGAATAACTTTTGAGAAATGGTGTATTTCGGTGAGAAATCTATAAAACCACCTTGGTGCGTTACATCTTACAAGTTTAATTCTATATATTAGATTTTCGGCTCTTTGTTTATATTTACTTTGGATCCACCATATGTTAATGTGTATTATAGTTTTTCCAAAAGAAAAAAAAAAATAAATAATAAAATAAAATAAAGTACTTGTTTGAAATTAAATTTTTTAACATATGTTGTATAGATATCTATTAACCATAAGCACACTTCACAGCAAAGACATGTAATATTAGGCTACTAGCTAGTGTAATTATTGTATGGAAATATAATTATATTTTGGATATTTTGATTTTTAACACCACACAAAAGGCTGAAAATATTTTTTAACACCCCCCAAAAAAAAACTTTTATTTTAACACCACATAAAAATTTAAAAATTGGAAGTTACCACCAGTTAACGTTATCTGTGACAGAAAATTGACGTGGGTCCCACAATTTGGTTTTAACTCCAATTTTCACCTCTGCATTCCACGATTTCTTCCTCCTTCATTCAATTCTCAATTATTACACAATTTTAGGACCACCACCAATCAACAAATTGATGCCCCGAAAGTTGAATAAAATAAAAAAAATTAGAGTGCAAAAAAGAGAGAAATCATACCCATACCCAGAAATCATACCCAGTACTCACAGTCATTAAGACCACCACCACCTCCTGACACTTTCCGGCGAAGGCAGCAAAAGCAGAGATAAAAAAATTCAAAAAAAAAGCAAAAGAAAAAAAATTAAAAATCAGAACATCTAAATCACCGGATTTCTGCCCAAATTTCATCGGATTTCTGCCCAAATCACTTGCGTTCAATGACCCTAACCCTAACTCCCGGATTTCTGCCCAAATCACCGGATTACTGCCGGAACTTGGCCGGTTTTTTGCCTGCAAAGTCACCTGGATCTGGGTGCGAATTCGATGGACTTTGAGCAGCGAAACTCGTCGAATTCCAGCCTAAAATTGCCGAATCATCATCTACAAACACAGTCGGATCTTTACCCTCGAATTGCGTGTTTCTTGGCCTTCGAATTGCTAGTTCCAGGCCTTCGAATTGCTGGTTTTTCGCTGTCTAATTCGTCCGGCATTGTTGGATAGAGAGAATGAAGGAGAAAGAGATCAGAGAGAATAAAGGAGAAAGGGATCAGAAAGAATGAAGGAGAAAGAGAGGATAGAGAAAGAGATCAGAGAGAATGAAGGAGAAAGAGAGGAGAGAGAAAAAAAATCAGAGAGAATGTCGTGTGAAAATTGGAGTTAAAACCAAATCGTGGGACCCACGTTAGTTTTCCGTCACAGATAACGTTAACTGGTGTTAACTTCCAATTTTTAAATTTTTACGTGGTGTTAAAATAAAAGTTTTTTTTTTGGGGGATGTTAAAAAACATGTGGTGTTAAAAACCAAAATATCCTTATATTTTTCGTACTAGTACTCATTTTCAAAAGTATAATACAAAATAGAAGGAAGTAGGTTAAAATAAAAGTGTAAAATTCCGCAATTTCTATTTACGATAAATTTAATAACATTTTCAAATTAACTTTTAACTAAAATTGAAATCTACGTCAATTTTGAGTCAAAATAATATCAACGCGGGTCAATATAAGTTGGTTTAGCGACTTGGATAAAATCTGATCACAGGTTCAGGTAAGTAGTAAGTTATGTTAGGTGTTTATTATTTAAAACTTAATCAAGTTGAGTGTTATTTCGGGTTCAGATCATTAACAGGTTGGGTCAAATCAGTTGTCGGTCAATATCCATTCAGGTCGGTAACAAGTTATGACAAGTTATAATCAATTTCAGGTTCTAAACAAGTCGAGTACTAATCGTGTTCGGATCATAATCAAGCCGAGTCAAATTGGTTTTCGATTAATATCAAGTTGATTACAGGTCCGGGTTCAGGTCATTATCAAGTCTATTAAGTTATCAGTTAATGCCGGGTCTGTTCAGTTCAGGTTACATGTCACTGTTTTCACCTACTCTTCTGGTATGGGTCGGATACAGATCATTGCCGATTCAAGTCGGGTTTTCAGGTCAGGTCAGATTTTGGCAGCTCTACTTTAATATTCAGTTTTGAAATTTTAATAATATTCTTGAGAGTTTTACTCTTCTGGTGGATTCTAGAGTTTTTACAGATTTATTGTAATACCCCGTATTTTTTTATGTATTTTATAAATTATTTAATTAATTATAAAATATATATTTTAAAATACTCAAGTATTTTAATTAAATATTTAAAGGGCTAAAGTATTTAAATTATTGAGTTTTATAAAAGTATAATTTATTTTAGGCTAAATGTTTATAAATCTTTTAGGCTCGTTTAAATAATAGTATGTAAACAATCCTTACATACTCCTTGTGGACCAACCCATTTCATTTAAGTAAGCCTAATTCTTCTATTTGAACCCTTATGGGTCAAAGATTTCATGACTAAAGTCCATTTGTTTATTAAGTCCAACCCTAATCTTTATTCCCTACTCTATAAATACCTCTCAATACCCAAAATTTTCCCACACAAGAGATCAAAAATTAGATTTTGGGGTAAGTAATCTTTTCTTTTTTTTTTTCTTTCTTTTCTTTTCTCCTTTTTCTTATTCTTTTCTTTCCTTGCATGCTGCTTTGGTTCATGCGTGAATGCATGGCCAATTGCTGCTTTCATGTTTTGCAGCAACCTCACGCCACTCCCCAGCCAGCCGGCCACCTCCCGCCGGCGACCCACGTCGGCAACCATCCCCACCGTGAGCCACCTTTCTCTCTATCTCCTCCTCCTTGTTTTAAATTATTGTTTTATGTAGTATATATTTTTGGGTTTTGATTCTTGTTATTTAAATATGATTAGTATATTTTATAATTGTGTTTTGATAACTAAAGAGTATAAATTTCTGATTATGTATGGTTTTAAATTATGGTTTTTATAAAGTATTAAAAAGTTAGGGTTTTAACTATTAAAGTGTTGATTTTTAGGGTTCTAATAATCAATTAAATTAGGGCTTTCATTCCTATTGAGTTTATAAAGATTAATTAAACATAAAAACTGATTTTCGGTAATCAAATTCCGATCTCCGTTCTTAATTATTTTTAATCACGTTTTAATCCCGCTGAGATTATAACTTGTCCGATTTTTACAAATAAATAGTGTTTTTCATGTGTAAACAACGTTCTAATAATGATTCACTACCTTTGGTAGTGAGTATCACCCTCTCGCGGCCAAAATCAGCCTCTAAATAGGGTTTTCGGACAGTTTTTGATTTTTGACAAAGGTTTAATGTTTTAAAAATAATTTTCAAATTTATTTTGGGGGTTTAAATTTTAAAAAGTGTGCTGGAATTTTTATATAAACACCATTAATGAGTTTTTACTTTGTGGTTTTAATTACCCTCTTAAAGAAAGAGTTTTAAAGGTTTTAAACCAAAATTTCAGCTTATTAGAGAAGGTTTAAAGTGTTTAAAAGTTGCTAGAAATTTGTGTAATCAAGGAAAAGTAATTGAGTTTATGTATTTGATATTGTAGGAGACTTTAAGTTGAGTAATTTCTAGCATTGTGGCTAGTTGGAAAGATGATTTAATTAAGGTACGTATAAGAATACGAGAAAACTTGATTTTAGGAGCATGTTTAGGGACTTGGAAAAACCTAGAATCATGCTAGGGAACTTGTGGATTGGTTGACATTGTTTGGTAATGAGTTGATTGATGATAAATGTGATGATTGGTTTAATTTATGTATGAGAAAATTTGCATTGATTTTCCTTATGAGCATTATTTATGCAATAATTTGCAAAGTGAGCTTAGAGGCAAAAATATAAGGATATATGGAATGAATTATTTTAATTACTTATTCATTTGTATTGAAATGGAATGAATAAAGGTAGAGTTAAAGTCTTATAAGACAAGATTGTAAATATGAGGTGCCTTATGCATTTAAGGTGTTTATACACCGAGGTAGTTAAAGGATTCAATAATAAATGTTGTTTGTCACTGATAAATTAAGAATTGAATTGGAAACTTGAATGATTTGAATGATTGATGTATGATTGGTTGTGTTGTTTGCATATGAGTCATCACCAAATTTAAACTGGTAAATCACGTAAAGTGCAAGAAGGATGAGCAATAAAACTCTAGATTTGTGCACATATAGAGTAATGACAAACAGGGGTTGGGGTTCACGGGGTATTAGCCGTGCACTTTTCAGAGGCCGTCTGATATACGAGTCTCTTGTTTTATATTCTTTTAAAATTATAATGAGTTAGATGAGATCTCATACTAGCTATGGCCACGGAGTCGCGCCCGTATGCCATTGGATGTTTATTAATGTCTTCCGAAAGGAGGCATAGGGTTTTCTTATTTAATGTTCCGGAATGGAGCACAGGGGGACAACCCGGTCTATTTCTTAATCCAATTAAATTAATGAAGTGATCAATACTATTAGAGAAACTTAGTAATGAGTAACAATTGAATCATGTGTTCGAGTCAATGATTATATTGTGAGTGTATGGAATGCTTGGTAGTATCATGCTAAGACTCTTTACTATATTTCGTAGCTTGTATGTACTCAGCGATGCTGATTGCGTGCTTTTGTGTGTTTCTCTTGGTCATGGCCTTCATCTTCAATGACCCTGTAATGATCCAATTCTTACACTTGTAAAATTGGGGAGCAGATTAATCACAGGTTTTTGCATAAACTGACTTGCATCAGGGTGATGGGATTTGAGTGGAGCGTTGGCTGATTACTTAGCTTAATTTATACCATAGATTAAATTTTATTTTGGTTCTAATTCCATTTACTTCCTATTTTACTGGATTTTGAATAAGGGCCGTTATGGTTCCAACTTGTAAGACTAAATTGAGTTTTGACTTTTAGTTTTGAAATTTATATTCTTTTTTAAAACTAAGTTAGTTTTCCGCTGCTGATTTCTAAAACTAGCCTTAACGTTTGAACACGTGGCGGTAGCACGCCAGTAATTCACTCACAAGTTATTAAAAGAATTTACAGGTTAATACAGGTTTTAAAGAGAGAATTATTGGGGTGTTACATTTATCGCTAGTAAATCTCTTTGTTCGTATAAGGAATTGTGCTTGCTTTTCCTCCATTAATTCCGATTGCATCTCATGTTTAGAGAAAATAATTAACCCCTAAATGATGTGATTGATCAACATTTATAGGGAAAGATGAATGAACTTGATTAGGGTTTTTGACACTAATGAGCCGTATAAATTAGGGTTTCTTAGGATTTGGTCCTCGGTCAACTCATGGGAGCCCACCAGAGGGTTTGCATCGAGGTTATTTTCGTAAGTTTATTGTTCATTAGCCTACTAAGGGGGTCCAAATATTAGCCCCACAACAAATTCGAAAGGAGTCTCTAGCGACTTGTTAAAAAATGATATTAGTGAGCGATGACTACCTATGTGCGAATGAGCGACAAAGGATAACCCTCGGGTAACCCCTGACTGAGCAACGATGACAGCCCAAATCTGGCTAGGCAACAAGGGAAGTTAGGCCAAGAGGGGAGCCCTCAGCCTGGCTGAGCAACAAGAGAGCCCTTGGCCTAGTTGGGCGACAAATTGCCCAAGACTGGGCGATTAGGTGCCCAAAGGGTGCCCTCGTCTTGTTGGGTAACGAGGTGCCATTGGGGGCACCCTTGTTTTGTTGGGCAACAAGGTACCTTAGTGGTGCCCTCACCTTGTTAGGCAATGGGGTTTACAACTCGCTCATTGGAGCTTGCTAGCCCCTTGATTTGCGATGGTATGTATGATTTGCCTTTTGGATAAGGTGATTGGTGCACGATCTTGTAGTGATATAGTGTATTATCTCAAATGGTCTTGTAGAGCATAATCTTAGCACATGTTGATCGAGCAATGTCAAACAAGAAGTATTAAGTTTGTTTTATAACTTTTGTACATTACATCTTTTAAGATATATAAAGGTATTAGTCTATTCGAATTGTTAGATGAAACTAATTGAAATTCAACATTAGGGCTAATGAGCCTCTTGGATAGGTGATATAGTGCACAATTCAACCCTTGGGGATAATGAGCACCTTGAATAGATGTCGTGGTGAACAAGTGAATATTAAATAGTTATAAAAAGAAACAAAAAGAATAAAGGTAACAAAAACAAATCTCAAAGAATTGGAAGTGAACAAAGGGAATTTAAAATTTAGGGTTTGTACAGTTTACATGGGATATACATCAATATCATAGATCTCTTCTTAGACTCTTCTTCCCCCCCCCCCCCCCCCCCCCCCCTCTTCCCCCTTTATGAAGCTATTTTAGATAACATTTTACCATTTTTTAAAAAAGGAGCAAGCCCAGGTTGCTCACAATGATAAACAATTTCATGTTTATCAAATGGCATTTTAGTAAATATTTGATCTTGAAAATTGTGTTGTGCATTAAAAAAATTGTTTCTCCTTTTTTCCACATGTCATTGTCAGACGAAAATTGATGGTGTTAGAGACTTTCATCATTTCTTCCTCCCACCCAATTTCTTGTTCTTCATCTTTTTCCTCTCGCGCCTTTCATCATCTGCTTCCTCCAACACCATTTCATCATCACCAACACCACAAGGTGCAGCAGAAATTTAGTGCAGTACCTCTAAGCTCAATCAATCGTGAGCTTCAATGGAGGAATTAGTGAGCTTCAATGGACAACTAACATTTTCTCCACCGAATTCCGGCGGCGAATTGATCTAAACCCTAAGAAAAATAGAGAAACCAAGGGCATGGTTAACCCTAACGGATAGGGTTTTGTCGTCCTTCTTTATTAAAGCTACTCATGAGCTTCAATTCCTCCATTGGAACGTTTAGAAGGGGATGAAAGGAAGAAGAAAAAGAAATTGGCAAGAGAGAAAATGTTACAGAAGGTCTCCACTAACGTTGTCAATATTCAAGTTACTATCAATATCATTTTTACCCCTAACTAAACACCTTAAAATATGTTTATACTCCTTGATAAACATTTTAAGTTTATCATAGTGATAAACTTAAATTTGCTCTCACAAAAGTACTACTATTTGACAAAAGTTTATAAGATCTTATCCTCAAAAAAAAGTTGTTTAAGATCTAGTAGGCATAATTTTTGTACCTTTTTTCTCATTCTTATGGAGTCCTATTTCAGGTGCAAGTATATTAATTTTTTCCTCAGTTAATGAATTTTTCAAAGCTGAATTTTTGTGAAAGTAAAAAGGGAATAAAGCTTCACTCTTTTTCTTGGGAAAATTCGACTAGTATTATATGTTATTGGCTGATAAATTGAGCTGTTACAACGAAGGGTAAAAATGTTACTTCTGCACAGATTAAACTCCCTATCCCAACAATATTCACTGATTTCTTTCACAAGCTAGACAGTTTACTCAGACTCTAGAGCAGCTATTTCATATCTAATTTCTTCTAAGTGTTCATTTATAGAGGTCACTGCCTCTTGCACACCTTGAACGGCTTCCTTAACAGCATTATCATACTCTGCATCTGCCTCTGCTTCTTCAGTCCCAGCTGCATCAGTTAACTCGTGGACATGCACACATTCATGATGCATTGGCTTTTTAAACCTACAATTTTCATGAGTTACAACCCGTTCAGATGGTCGCCCAGCCTTCTTCAACACCTGAATTGTTGCAGTCTTTCGACCAACAGAAACAGTGTCAGATTAAAAAAAAAAAAAAAAAAAAAAAAAAAGGACACGTCTATGTCTATTGAATTCAGTAGGTTCAAGGTGATGGAATTTGCAGTATGCTGAGTTCACAGATATGGAACCTCAGATTAATAATATGATAAAGGGAAATTAGAGCACTGGGGTACCTCAGATTAATAATATGCGTTCTTGGCATGGACAAATCGGGAACCAAAATCCTTTCAAGTTATTTGTACAGCATATGATTGGTAACTTAGTACAGATTTTAACCAAAAAATAAATAAACCAACTCCACAGCAGACAAAGGATTTAACACCTAAGGAGGACACAAGGTCAAACAAATATTCTTAGAGCTAAGAATATATCCAAAAAGAATCTACAGCACTTAAATGTATCAGACAGAAATTACCTGCTGACTGATTGCACTTTCCCAACAACAACATGATTCATCAACTGTGACGTCCTTCAATGAAAATATATAGGATATCCATTTCACACGCTAAAACTACATGATTCATCAGCTGTGACGTCTTTCAAGGAAATTAGTATGGCACATTGGCACAACCAGAACAAAATTTTGAAAACACTAAGGATGCGTATGCTGATTGGAAAAGTTCATGCCAAAGTTCCGGCCTATACGCATGCTAAAGTGAGATCCACATTACAAATTCAGTAACAAACAGAAGCCCTAGATATCTTCCAAAATTTTAAAATCTGCTGATTCTCCATCTCTCCCTCTCTTTCCAGTTGATTACTCAAACTCCATCCTAGGAAGCATCAATTTAGGTGAATACTGGGCAAGCCGTGCATTGTGCTTGCCATAGTGTGATGTCAACACAAACACCAAAGGGATAAGTAACGAGTTACACCAAGATAGTACATATGTTTCTTGTTGCAAATTAACATTAAGAGCTGATATATATGCACTCTAGGATACAGCTGGTTTCATAATTTGTTCCAATAATAAGCGCTATAGTTATGCACCACCTTGTATGTTTCACCCTTCCACCATTAGGGGTGAGTGCTTAAAACCACATATTTCCAATTTCATTGCAACTTGCTTGACTTTCCACCTTTAATAATTTCTTAGTTTTTACACATAATTCATTTATAGTTTTCTAATTTTTATGAACAAATATTGATTCTTGCTACCTTACAAGTAAAATATTCAAACCGCTTAAATTTCCAATTTCCAACTCATGTTCAACTTAGATTTTTAGGTGCAAAACTATCAATCTAAGCAGGAGTGGGAATGCATAAAAAGTAATGGACATAGCTCCACCAAGTAGCTCTTTAGTGGAAAAGAGTTCGGCCTGTGCCTACAATGACTTCGGAGCATCCGATCACAAGCAGGCAGAAGGATATAACATTTACCCTCATCTTTACCATCCTACCACCCCCCCCCTCCCTCTCTTCCTCCCCCTGTCTTCAAGGGACTAACACAAAAATCAGACTAATTATCAAACTACTGAAAAAAATTCTGTGAGCAAAGTGCAGCACTGCAGCCTCTTCATAAATTTCACTTAAATCACCATTACATAGATGTATGCAATAGTAATACATATAAGATATAACAGCTGCTGCTACGGAAATTAAAGAAGAAAAGCAATTATATGAGCAAGTCAAACATGGAACAAACTTGAGCCTAGGAAGTATATTTTACTTAACATGTTTCCTTAAGGGTTAATAAGTTCAGATAAGGGTTGATAAGCCTAGGAAGTATATTTTACTTAACATGTTTCCTTTATTGGCAAATTTAACATTACACTTTTCCTTATTTACCCTCACCTTTTCAACATAATAAAAACATTATACCCTTTATTACCCTTCCCTCATCTTCTATCACCTCAGTCAGACCCATCATTCCTCACTGATCACCGCCACATCCTCTCTCCCTACTCCACGTTTTCCATGGAAGACACCACCCTTATCTCTCCTCTTCACCGACAAGTAAGATAAGTGAAATTCAGTGAAGAGAACACTACCTAAGTATATCAAGTTTACACACTGACAAACTTGAGCAGTATTAGCAAATCCAAAACAGATCCTAGGAAGGACTCCAAGTTCTTGTAATAAATGTGTAAAAGCTGTAAATTAATGATCTTACCAAGTGCAGTTTTTGCTTCTCCAGCTCTTGAACAGACCTCAATAATCTAGCCAAATCATCTCTAAAGCAGTCAGGATTCAGAAATTGGGATTCAATCTCACGAACCTGCATCAGAAAATGAATATTAGGGTTGTTCAGG